CGTACTCTTCAATCACCTCCTCATACTCCTACTCACCCACGGTCACGAACTCTACTAACTCATTATGTACATGCATGAAATGATGATGCAACACTTAGTAATACGGTAACAACAACTCTTAAAATAAGAATACATCTATTAAGCTACTAAGCTAACTCTAATGACTAAGATGCTAAGTTACCTATCCTTTCCACTAAACAGGTATGAAACATTCGAGTATTATCTTAGCAATCAAAATGCATTTCTCACTTTATTTACGATTTCATATATACTAAAACAAGGAGTACTTAGCTACCATATTTCTCAACCTATTCTAAAGCTACAAAAATTACAATGAGCATATAATAATCTAATGAACCTACTCTAAAAATTTCATGGCCAAAGCTATTACCAAATTGCCACAAAAATTCCTACAATTATTAATCTAAATAACATTAAACACTTTTAAATGATTTAATAGACCTTAGCATCAACATAGACATGTATAAACTAATCATACCACCAGATAGACAATATTTTTAGGAACTAAATAGAATTTATTTCATAATTTTTGGACATCTATGCGAATTGATATTAATTTTCAAAGTTCAGCTCAGAATGTAAAATATAAAACCAGTTCTAATCCCTTAAGAAAAAGGAAAAATGATTTCCCCTCGCGGCCCATGACCACGCGGTCCACGCGGTCGCGGCCCAACGCAAGACGGCCCACACGGGGTGGCCCACGCGTGCGCGACACATATGCAAAAATGCCCCTAAACTTTGGACAAACTAACCCGCAGTTCACATCACTATTCCTAGAGAGAGCAACTATGTAATAAAACCCTCGGAAATACCCTCCTTTACCACGGCGTGGTCCTCAGCCACTCGTGCGCGTGGTGGCGTGGCGGCAATGGCATTAGATGGCCATGCCGGCCAGCTGAGACCCACGCTGGCTCCACTAACGGGCCAACCTATTTACAACCCTAGTGCCTACACTAGCCTAGGTCACAGGAGCAGCGGAGCTCGCGGAAGTGGCAACCACGGCGCACGATCATGCGCGACAGCGGCGTGACCATGCCGGCTAGCTTCAGCCATCGTGGGGAGAGCTAGCTAACGCTAAAACATCACTAACGTACCTAGGTTGCGGCTGTGGTGATGGTTTGGCCGGGGATTCCTTGAACCGGGTTGGCCACGTGTGGGTGGTGGAATGCGGCGGTGCTCGAGATGGCGTGGCCACATCCGTGGCTGTGGCGAGGCGGAGAGGTACCAGTGAGGTGCGCAGGGTGAAGTGGAGGTGGAGGCGAAAATTGTGGTGAAGATGGATTGACGAGGGGTGGTGCGACGGGTGGCTGCCCTCGGCCATGACCGATTGTGACCTTAATGGCACGGCGGAGGGGGAACTTCCAAACTGGAGTTCGTCGTGACTCAATTCAAAGCGGGGTGGGTACGGTTGGCACGCGGACGTCTAGGCGCATACACGGGCACACAAAATTGAAGGCGAGCACCTGCCCCTAGCACACCATGGCCGCGATGCGACGACGGAAACAGAGGCGGTCGGCGCACAGAGGCGGGCAGGTGAGAAACAAAGGACGGGAGGCGATAAGCACGTGGTGGGTAGCTAGCGAGTGCACCTTGGCGCGATGTGGCTGGCACAACTAGTGCGGCCCACGACCGGCACTAGCCGACGACACATGCACGAGGTCAGCGTAGCCCGCACGTCGTAGTGCTATAAATGGCATGGCGACGATAGTCTTGCCCAACGCGCACAGCGCCCAGGCGGACCAGAGATGTAGCGTGGTGCAGCGGCAGGCGAGAGCGGGATGGTGATGCGATGGCAGTGGCAGCGGGCCATGGGGTAGCGAGTTGACGTGTAGCGCAGTGATGGGACGGCGGGCGGAGGAGAGGCACAAAGTGACGCGACGACACGGCGTCAGGTCAGTGTGGCAAGATCGAGCGAAGGGCAGCAGCAAGGCCAAGGTCATTGTCACCACAATGACACCGACCGAGCATGGCTAGGCGTGTGTGTGCACGTGTCGTAGCGCGTCAACGCCAGCAACATAAGGCCACATGATGACCGCGCCACTGAGAGAAACCGATCGAGGCTGTGCCATGCACGCTTTTTAAAGCATCCAAATCAACTAATCGATTGGCTAGACACCAAACCATCTTTGATATACCTAAGAGGGTATATTAGAGTACAAAAATAGCCATAATACTACCCTACTGCTTAACCCAATCTCACACAATAAATTGCCAAACCTCGCAGTATATATCTGTCGGCAAACTTCGAAATTTTTCTAAGTTTTACATTGAACTCTATTTCAAATTGCATTTCTAAGTTGTTGGAAATCTTAGCTATTAATATCATTTTTTGACCACGAGTATTTCATCGTCATCTATAAAGTTTGTACTTCAAACTTTATTCAAGTGTCACATACATGTTCTATAGCATTTTTGCTTAATAAAAATTGGTTTTAAACCCTAAGTGATATAACATGACTATAGAATTAACTTTCGTTTCACACTTTCGTTGATCGTTTTGAGTTGCGGAAATTGATCTACACTCTATATTACATGCATTAACACATAAATATGATGCTCATGACATGTTTTAATAAATGATTTTAAGTGTAACACCGGGGGTGTTACACCACGTGACTGATATCTGGGGCCCATGAATGGTGCCTAATGGACTGGAAAAACGATGCTCATTCCTTCTACTACCCCTCGTACCAAACTTAAAACAGGGACACCCATGTTCCTTAACAAAACTAAGATATAAAACCATCACATCCTAGAAAACTAGAACGAACCCATCCTGTCTCTTCTCATCCCCGAACCAAACATAGCCTAATAAAATGTTTCCATGCTACAAAAATGTATATGGTATACTTGGTTGAATGGCGAAGCTAGAACTTAAGATTAGGTGGGAGGGGACAAATGCCAATATGAGGGCCATTTACTCTTTAACTACATCACAAATTAGGTAGGTCACATTAAGGGGTCTAATGAAAAATAACAAATTTAGTGAGACCAAGGCCCCTCTAGCCCCCTATCTTCGCTTTTGAATTGGTTTAGAGCAACTCCAAGAGATTCTTTATATCCTTCTGTTTTAATAAGAATAGAGATTTTAGTGAAAATACCTTTTCAACAACTTCTTTAATGTGATCTCCAAATACTGTCATCCTCTATTTCGATTCCCACTAGCCAAAAATGGAGAGTAGAACTGACTTTCTAGAGTTCGTACGAGGTATAGAGAAGTTACTAGAAGATGGAAAGATACAAATAGCTATTTTTATTTAAATGTCTCTCCAAATAAGGATTTAGAGAGCGAGAAAAAAACTGCTCTTAGAGTGATTTATCTTGAAACCAAGAACACCTTGCATATGTCCTTTATGAATATAAAGCCTTGAAAGAATAATCTTTTAGGAAACTAAATTCAAAGCAATAAAGCCAAGGAGCTTTCTTGAGGGAAATGGAACGAGGTTGTACCGTCTTTATGCTCTTATAAAAGCATGTTTTTTTCTCCAAAAGCAAAGAAAACTATACCTGTCTTTTGAGATAGAAATCAAGATAAAAATAATTTTGACGGCTACCTTTGCACCTAAACCTAGCTGCAAAACCATTACTAACCACTAGTATATATCCCTATACATACTCGAAGTCTTAGGCCTTATTCCGTTATTCCTCATTCCATGGGGTTAGAGGGGGTTGGGAGGGATTAAGAGGGATTTTGACTTGCTAGAGATTTAAACCCTCTCAATCCCCTCCGACTCCGTTGGAATGATCTGCAACCGATCAAGACCTTACGGGGAATGCCTATTTGGAACGGAAGATGGGCAAATAAAAAAACAAAGAATTAGGAAAATAAAGAAAAACAAAATGACATGGCCTTTGGAACATAGGAATTCATAACCCACAAATGGTAGAACAAAAAAACTTTTAAAGAGCATATAAATATGTTTCTTTTGAAACAAAAATCAAGATAAAAATCATTTGACAGCTACATTTGCACCTATCACCCTGTTCGTTTGGCTTATAAACCGTATTTTCTCAGCCAACGAATAATATTTTTCTCTCACAACAAATCAATCAATAATACTTTCAGCCATGGCTTATCAGTCAAACAAACAGGGCATATAAACGATTACTAACCACCGGTATATATTCCTACACGTGCTAGGTGCCTTATGAGTAAGAGTCAATTTGGAACCAAAGAATCTCTAAAAACCAGAGAATTGGGAAAATAATAAAAAGAAAAAAACAAGATGACATGGACTTTGGAATATAGGAATCCATAACCTATGAATCCCTACACCCACAAGGAATTGGAACCTTATAAATAATAGGGCTTGTTTGAAACGAAGGAATCACAAATATAGAATTATGTGAAAATAAAGCAAATGGAAAAAATGTGTTATAAAACAAAGAATTAGAAAAATAAAGGAAAACAACATGACGTGGCTATCACTTGGAATCCTAGACCAAAAACATTTAAAGAGAATTAACATTTAAAAATACTTTATTTGAGAGATTTATGTATGTTTACCTACAGTACTTTAATCCTGTAGGTCTATTACACGTGGGACGCTTTATCCATGAACTCATTGAACCTGTTCATTAATTGGTTTCTGGACTGGTAAGTTCGACTGATACTGATTTAGAAGAGAAAAATACTATTGACTAACGGATAAGCTCTGACTGAAAACATTGAGCCAGTAGGATTATAGCTACAATTCGTGGTAACCTTATCTTCCCTCTCAACGGCCGGAACACACACCGTGTCGTTCTAGCGTTCTCATCCTCCATCCGCTTGCTCCTCCTGCTCTCTCAAGTCAAAGCAGTGGATATGGTGGCGCGAGCAGCGAGCTAGGAGGCCAGGTAGCAGATTAGTGTCGGCGTTAACCGGCTGCTCGTGAGCGCGGCGGCCTCCTACCTAGAGGTCAGTGCGCTGGCGGCTGCGGTGGTAGCTGGGACGCTGTGCCGACGACGCTACGCCACACGCGGACCAGACACCGGCGATGACCACTCTGGCGACGGCGGCCACGGCGGCGTGGACAAGGGAGGAGGACAAGGCGTTCGAGAACGCGGTGGCGGCCGCCGCGGCGCCGCCGGCGGACGGGCCGCCTGATGATGGCTGGTTCACGGCGCTCGTGGCGAGCGTGCCGGCGCGGACGGCGGAGGAGGTGCGGCGGCACTACGAGGCGCTGGTGGAGGACGTGGCCGCCATCGAGGCCGGCCGCATCCCGCTCCCGCTCTACGCTGGGGAGGAGTCGTCCGCCGCGACGCCCGAGGGCTCCGGAGGCGCCGCCTCCGCGCCCAAGGACGGAGGAGGAGGAGGTGGGCACCGACGCGAAGAACGGAAGAGCGGCGGCGGCGGCGGCGTTGACGCGGGGAAGAGTTGCTCTAAGGCTGAGCAGGAGCGGCGCAAGGGCGTCCCGTGGACGGAAGAGGAGCACAGGTTCGTAGCAAATCTCCACGTGTTCTTGCCTTCAAAAGCTTGCATCTTTCAGGCTAATCTTCAGGCTAATAATATTGATGATGTTGTTGTGTTCGTGGCGTCAACCACGGGATTCATGGTGGGTGCAGGTTGTTCTTGCTGGGTCTGGACAAGTTCGGCAAGGGCGACTGGCGGAGCATCTCGCGCAACTTCGTCATCTCACGGACGCCGACGCAGGTGGCGAGCCACGCGCAGAAGTACTTCATCCGCCTCAACTCCATGAACCGGGACCGGCGCCGCTCCAGCATCCATGACATCACCAGCGTGACCGCCGGCGAGGTCTCCGCGGCCGGCGCACCCATCACGGGCGGCCCGGCCTCCGCGGGGGCGATGCGGATGGGGTCCGCTGGCATGAAGCACCACCACCCGGCAGCGCCGCCGATGGGCATGTACGGGCACGCGCCCATGGGCCACCCAGTCGCGGGGCACATGGTGGCGCCGGCGGCCGTCGGCACGCCCGTCATGTTCCCGCCGGGTCATCACTCGCCCTATGTCGTGCCAGTGGGATACCCGGCGCCACTGGCCAAGATGCACCAATGATCGATCGTCCACTTCCGGCGGCATTTGCACATCTGCAGAGCTGCATTTCGTTGCTTGTTCTTTCTTGATTTCGTTCGTCTTTGTGTAGCCAAAGCCATCTATATATCCATCCTTTCCTGATCTCCCGGCCCTTAATTTGATGTAATGTAACATAGATGACTCGAGTGAGTGAGTGCAGGGCAGGCAGGCGATGAGGCGAATAATCAGTATCTGCTGACTGTTGCAATAGCGCTACTTATTGTAATCACACTCAGGGAGGCTCCAGGAATGTGTAATTAGTAGCAGCCTTCCAGGGTGCAAATGTTGATCATTTGTGCAGAGTTGCAACTGGGGACTGATCCGATTCCATTTTTCGGATGTCAATTGATTGTCTAAAAAATCTCATCTGTGCTGTAGTGCAGAATGAAATATGTGTTCATCATCACAGTACAATTCCTTTTTCCTTCTGAAGCGTCTCAATCAAGTTCCCCCACCGCAGCCGTTGTTTTCAAACAGTGTTCAGTTTGGGATTGAGCTAATGTTGTTTCAGTTTCAGTGGCCATCTATGGTCTGATACTCAGTTCAGATAGATTAAATGTCTATGGTCTGATACTCAGTTCAGATAGATTAAGGCCATGTTTAGTTGCTCGAATCGGCGCCCCCAAAAATACGGTAGATTACTGTAGCACAATGTAGCATTTGTTTGTATTTGGTAATAATTGTCTAATCGTTGACTAATTAGGCTCAAAACGTTCGTCTCGCAAAGTACAACCAAACTGTGCAATTAGTTTTTGATTTCGTCAACATTTAGTACTCCATGCATGTACCGTAAGTTTGATGTGACGGTGAATCTTTTTTTTGCATAGTACCAAAGTTTAGATTTTAGGATGAACTAAACATGGCCTAAATGTTTCTTTTCTTTTTGAAACCTTTTTGCTTGACTAGTGGACAGACAAGTGCAACACGCATGTGAATATAAAAAAAAATTCGATTTTAAAGAAGCAATTACAGTTGGCATATTGTAAAAAAAGGCTTTTTCTTAAAGTGGAACATTCTGTTACTCAGTTACCGGTGACAAATTGCCAATCTAATCATCCATACAAGTAAGGATGAGAAATATCTGTCAAACATCGTTTTATATTTAACATCAACATTTTCTTTAGACTCTGCTCTTTACGCATTTCCTAATTTCTGCGGTTTAGATTTTGGGTTTTCTACTTTTCTACTTTTAATTTGAAATATTCAATTCAAAATTCGGTTACAAACTCTTGAGGTCATCAGGCCAATTGCTAGTTGTTACATCTAATTTAATTCCTATTATCCGTCTACTAATTGCTTGTTCTAGACTTGTATTTAAACTATTGTGTTAAATACCTAAGGGATCATCTTGTTAATTATTATATATGAACTTGATATGTATGTACTTAGTCATGCACTTGGTCCCCTGCCATTCGTATTGAGTTTTCAGTGTTACATAAATCCCTCGAATTGTTACTTTTGGAATTCTCGATATTTCGTAAGTTCGCGTTCATTTTCGTGTCCGGCTTTATCGTTTTAGCTTTCGTTTTCGTATTTCAAATGTAAAAGTAGAAAACAATTTAGGAGTTTTTCGACCGTTTCGGACCGTTTTCGTCCTTACATACAAGTGAGAATACTGTCAAACAGCAGGACAACAACATTATTTAGACTCGCTCCTAATCTGCTAGATAGTGGGCTACATAATTACAAACTCTTGAGGCATCAAGTACAAAATATTTATCTCCGTCTCCCACACCAAACTACTTGCAGGGCTCTGATGGAAGTATATTGATAGTGCAGCTTGCCCTGCCATCGTCAGAGTTAGTCTCCCTCATGTACTGTTGGAAAATCGTCCTCACGAGAGCAAGGCTAGTAATACAGCCGACTACTGACTGTAAGAATATTTGTAGCCCACTCATATAGTAGATAGCTCTTCGCTATTAATACATGGTCCATTTGTCTCTCCACAAAGTTTCTTGATTCTGGTGTCTCAGCCGGTTATAAGCTTTACGGCTTACTTTTCCTCTCTCCTCCACGTACCTCAGCATTCAGCTTGCCATTATACTTGGAGAACGGCTCCGGTACTCCTTTCTAAAAATTAGCACGAATCTTAAAGCAAACATATATAATTAATTGACCAAGTTATTACTTACTTTCCACTGGGCCTCCTATGGGCTCGACCCTACCCGCTCCAACCTATATTGGCCCTTATCCAATCCCGTTCTTCTCCTTTGCTCTCAGCGCGCGTAAGCGACGGCCAAGGCAGCGTCGGCGACCTACAGACCATCCAATCTTCTTCGACGAGCTCAAGGAGGGGCTCAAGAAGGTACAGCTCCAACCTCAGGGAGAGCGAGATGCCGATATCAGGGACGCAGCTCATGGACGCCTTTGAGGTCGACAACAGCGGCACCATCGACTACGACGAGTTCATCGCCGCCACCGTGCACATGAGCAAGCTGGAGTCGAGGAACACCTGCTCGCGGCCTTCGCCTACTTCGACAAGGACGACAGAGGCTATATCACCGTCGACGAGCTGGAGCAGGCTGCTGGCGTGCAGGGCCAACGTCGGTCTCAACGACATCATCACAGAGGTATCTCGTTCTTCTCCTTTGATCTCAGCGTTCTTCATCTCTTGGTTTGTGGCTAATATCCAGGAGGACGTAGTTCTCGCCTTGTTTCTTCAGCCGGTCATCGTGATGCTCCTCGCAACCACATTTCTTGGTGCCGGAAATGGTAGCGATTGATAACACGGAACAGTTCGGTGAGATGGATCTACGCAAGACTGCTTTATATTTGTTCTGAGTGGACATTGAGGAGAGTAATAGCTCCCAGTGATAGCTCCCAGTGAACAGGCCCACATGTCATAGGTGCAGCATAAGGAGGTTGACCAAACTTGTGTGCATCTTGTATTTTGCATTTTTGCTTACAAGAGAAGGAAGTGAAGTATTTGTACACCACCAAGCACCATAGTATAGTCAGTTCAGCTCAGCCCCTTCATGAGAACCAGGGAGAGCCTCCAAGAGAGGGAGATTAGAGAGGAGAGCTTGCAATAGATTAAGAAGGATTCGTCCTTAAGGTTGTGAAGCTTCGTATCCACATCCTTGGTGTCTCTAATATGAGTTCCACCATCATTTGGTGAGGTCTTTTTTTATCCTAAGTAGCAGCCCCAAATTTTATTATTGCTGTGCAAGATCTGTAGAATCTTGATGTATGGTTGCCTCTCGGCCGTGCACTCGGTGCTAGCACACCGGCACATGCCATTCCTTTTCTGCAAACGTGGATACTAAGGAGACACTGCTACTGTTGATACAGTGTTGATTGGCGACACATCACACTGCGCGGTAGACAGACAATGCGGGTGGATGTATCGCTATTGCTTGGGCGCAAGGACATGCGTCTACTTCCACTACATCGACGCACACAACGTTGGATCAGGCTACTCCAACTCTTCTTGGTTGAATGCGGTAGAAATTTTATTTTGTGCTAGCGTAGCAATACCCATTCCCCTAAAACATTGTCCTCAATTAGATCATACGGCACACCATAGTGAGCTTGCCAACTAGTCACTAAGTCTAGTTTGGCTTCACCAGATGATTCACCGAAGTCACTGGGTTAAGTCACTTCTACCCGGGAAACAACATCATCGGACGACCTACCAGGGGTCAATCCTATCATCCAATGCATGTTTCGTTGTTGTTTTTTTAACCTTTTTTTGTATGTTTACTACCAATAAGGACATGTAGGAACAACGATTGTCAGATGTCAATCAAGGTGTACAATATTGAAAGTTTCACTATGATAAAAACAATATGGTTGTGTTATGTGTTAACATGAAACAAATGTATCACGAGCAACTAGTTCCCATGGATGGGGATTAATTCAGATCGAATGTGCATGGAATTGAATTAGAATAACACTATTTATGATATTTTAATTTAGATACGGATGTTCTCAGTATCGATTTATTTTATGGACAGTAATAGTAGAACAAAATTATTATATATGTAGTGATTTTAAATATGAGTACATAACACATGTAGATAAAGACAACTCATTAGAAATAGCATATTTATTAATAAATATTGAAAATGTACAAAATTTCTAATAAATATTACAATATATATTATCAATAAATAGATTAGAAATATTTACAACTTTTTCATCAAAATATAAAATAAAATAAAAGTATTTGAATTAATATGATTAGCCATATTAATAATAGCTGAACTTAACCTTTATATATCATCAGTAATATATAATATCAAATTAATAAAATGTCATTATCCATAAAGATTACATTTAAACAATTTAAATAATACACATCATTTATAATATAAAAAATTATATCATTTAGATGGTCTCACCGAGTACTTCGTTCTTCATGAATATGGTGAATGTCAGGATATTTCACATTTTTTCCTAATACATATTTGGAATCAAATAGAAAAAACAGTGAAAAAATAGATTCTGATACATCTATTTAGCATCCATGTTATAATTGAATGGAGTATGAATATCGATAGATTCAGACGTACAAATCCATGCCTACTACTTATGGAGATTCCAAACTAATAGGAAGCATAACAGAACCGTGACTAGCATGAAGAAAAGACATCATCGTGGAATCATGACTAGGCCCCCTTTGAAACACATGAACACAAAAACATAGAAATAGGAAAAATATAGGAATATCGTAGGAATACAATTGCAAACACAAAGGATCGGAAAATTTAGGAACTTTGAAGGAATGATTATTTGGATAGACCTTAGGAAAAACATAGGAATTTTACAGGTTTGAATGGATTCTAAGCTCCCTACATTTTTTCTCTAAAATAAAAAGGCAAATAAAAATTTGCTACACTGTTCCTATTCTCTATTCGTGTGAACAGAAGGCATGAACGCTGAAGGATTCCCAATCCTATGTTTGTTCTCTATTTTTCTTGTGGAAACCAAAGGTGGCCTAAAAGAAGATTTATTCCCACATATTTTCACCATACAAGGAA